TCAACCTTCTGCTTCTCTTTCTTTTCCATTCGCCGTCCTCTTTTATGTTAAAAACTTGAATCACTCGTTACACACGCAATTGTTAACGTAATTACATTATATTTGGTGTCATTTTAATCAGGAAATCTAGACAAATACAACAGTAAAAGTTTCATGAAAAAATAGTAAGAAATAAGAAAGTTGCAACCTTTTCCTTTGCTTGCATTAATATGTGTCTCACCGATATTCGATTCTCGTTGTTTCGGCGACCGATCGAGTTTCATTCTTGTCTGATTTCGAGGAGGATCCCCCCAGTAGTGGGGATACAATTTTACAGTAGTGGAGATACAATTTTAACATTTACGGTAGAGATCCTTTAAACATTTCCGGAGAGAATACTGTAGCTTCGTCGACCCTACGACAACAATGCGCGCTTCAAGAATCTAATAATAGAGCTGTTTTGTTTGATTGTATTTGGAGAATAAACTTTTGTTAACCAGGTTTTAAAATTTTCTTTTGTAAGTTTTCCGGATGTCGATGTCATAACAAAAATATTCATAGCCTTGAACATGGTCTGCTGTAATCGAGGTTCAAATACTCCATGGTATAAAGTAGATACATATCGTCAAGACCTCATTTTTAAAATCCCGTATTTTGCTATGCATCACATAATGAACCACTATGCCACATATGTAGTGACGCAGCAATTATTTCATGTGCATGGTGCATCGAAAACCGTTTGAATCATTTCTTCGAGCAATACCACCATTGCCTATTTAATAAAATTAACAGTTATGTATAACGTAAATGTAATTGTTTCTCATTTATGCTTATAAATAATGTCGACTGACAGTGTAATATCGTCCGACTTCATCCGATTGAGTACAGTGTGGAGCGTCAGCGGGCGCGCGCCCGAACCTTTATGATAAAAATCTGAGGAATTGTAGGAGGAAATATCGTATATATATATACCAATGGATTTGTAATAAAATTCTCTACACTTTTTGTCATTATACAAATTTGAATAAATTGTAAAATAAGGTTATGAAAAATTTTTTTGTTATAAACAAATTGTATTTTGCAAAATTTGTTAACATCTTGTTATTATACGCAAGAAACCATACAACTTTTCTATTAAAAATTTTAATGTATCTCGTATGGTTTTCGAGATAGCCAAAAGGNCCCTTATTTTTGCCTGCTTAATAAACCTACGAAGTTTCATCAAAATCGGAGGGGGTCACTTGCGTGGCTTTTCTTGTAAGACAGTTTTGGGTTTTTTCCGTCATAACGTGTTCCATAAACAGTTTAAGTTT